CTCTCTGTGTGTGTGTGTGTGTGTGTGTGTGTGTGTGTGTGTGTGCTGATGAAGACAGTGACGTGTGTAACGATATTATCAGATTCTGTGACAGGACATCCGATAAGGAGTGCGCGCGTGTGTGTGTGTGTGTGTGTGTGTTCAATTAGGAGGGAAGTGCAGGAATAGTGCTAAAACATAAATATTTTTTTATTTATATTTATATTTAATATTTATTTATTTTAGATTTTTGTTATAATGATGATGATAATAATAATAATAATGATGATGATCAGCTGACAAGACACGCATGATAGTGTCACAATATGTGACGTTAACACATGTTGCTGCATTTCGTGAAACATCAGTGTTTTTTTTCTTACTTCAAGAAATGTATAAGGTGTGTTTCGTCAGGTGTGATAGAGTGTTAGTGACTCATCAGTCAGTTTGCGGAAGCGGACAGGTAGATCGGGTATGGTTGCTAGGAAACCGCGGCGGAGGTGACAAGAGCGGGGTGTGAACGCGCGCGACTGTCTCTCCTTCATACCTTCTCACAATGTCATATCATTGGTTTGTCAGGACGCAGATATTTGGTAATTTGAGGCCATGTACAATGACTCTACACTTTACTGCTGGACCTCTTTTCGAAATATTTTTTTTGTCAGGATGATTGGCTTAAAATTGTTGTATATCCTACACCTGTGTTTGTATTGTGAATATGCACACATTAGATGAGCACTAGAACCACTTTTGAAGTGCCCTGTGTTTTGGGGTTTGTCTGTCAAGAACATTTCATTGCAAAGTTAAGAAATTATAATTTGCATGAAGAAAATAAAGCCTATTTTTAGAACTATTGCCATTATCTACATCACTTTGACAATTAAGCACATTTGTAATCCAATTCTAAAGACATAATGAAATGACACTATTGTCGTAATAGAGTTTATGGAGAACTTGGATTTTTTTGCATATTTAATGAAGTGTGCATCATTGATTCTAATACTGTGAAGCTGCTTTGAATCAGTCTTTATTGTTTAAAGCGCTATTAAAAAAGTTGATCATGCATAAACGTTTAATTTTCTTTACAGTATATTTACTGTAATGCTATATCATTGCAGTTCTTGTATGTGGCCCTTATGCTGAATTCATGAATAAATGTGGTTATTCATCATAAACAAAATCTCAGTTTTAATAGTGCTAAAATAAGCTTTGTTGTCTTGTGATTTTAGGAGTGAGTAGTGACATGTTCCTGACTTGCACAATGCAGCCAAATGTGCGGTTTTGGTTCTGAGATCTCAGATTTAAATGTAAAAAAAGGTTATAATTAATTAATGTTCATCTGACAGTGTTTTATAGAACGTTTCATGGGGTTTACGCCACAACGAGCACATTTGCCATGCTTTGTTTACTTAACGTCTTTGCAACACATTGGCATTGTCTTCCCGAAGGCATTGAGAAATGTCTGTGCCGGACACTAGGAAGTCTGCCCGTCTTGCACCTGTTGTGAGAGGAAGCGCTTGTCCCGTGGGGTTCTTTATCGCAGATCAGGTTGCATTGTGTGCTCATAGTGACCGTATCCAAGGTCCAAAGCTTTCAGGATGCATGACTGCTTGCATTTGTGAACCGGATCAGGGATGGTAGAAAGAAATGCACGTCCCTGTTGAACCAACTGACCTGGTTTGATCATATACCCTTTTATGAAATGGCGTTGCATTGCTTTCTTTGACTAGATTTTACTCTGCATCACAAACAATCTGCAAAATGTGTGATATTGATTAAATTGCAATATCCCATGAATGCACCTGTTGCATATCACACTGAGTTCTGCAGAAATGCATTGAACCATGCTTATGCATTGTGTCTATTGCTTGCAAAACAGCCCTGCAATAAAATGTTCTATAAAATGCTAATTGCTGTTTAATAGGGTACATGAGTTGTTTGTATCTCTGGAAGACTGTCGTAATGTTGGTGATTTGATAGCTTGTGAGTGTGATATGTGTTTGTAAGCTAAAACCAGGATGGACCTTGCCTCCAGGTCCATCACTCTTCACGTTCTCAGGGGTGTAAAGCTGGTTTCTCAAAGAGCGAAAAACGTTTTCTACTCTAGAAGCAACTGCTTTAGACCATCTCTAGTGTTACACCAAAGAGTAACAGTAGATACAAGTTCCTTCAAACATAAGTTGTGTTCCCAAGGCATGAAATTTGAGACTCATTTGCATACACTGTTTGATATTACATGGCTTCCTCTGTGAGGAAAGCATTTGCACGAGACTCTCAGAAAGTCGTGCTTGCAGACAAAATTACACAGTGTTTAATAGAATGCAGCAAAGTGATAAATTGTATGCTGTCAATGCATCCTACAAGACTGGATTGAGTCTTTTGCGGTTTGTACTGTTTTGTGTGTGTGACATCTAAGAGAGCATTAGGTTTGGCACTATCCTCGGGGCTTTGGGGGCATAAGTGTCGTTTAGTGCTGTCAAACTGAGCGTTTGTCATACCACAGGCTGTGAAGCTCAGCAGAATGTTGCTCAATGTTCTTTTCTGAAAGAGCTCGACTGGAGTCCCGTGCACATGGCTGACTGCATTGCAAAGCGAGGGGACTCGAGGAGGAGGTGCATTGGATGGTGTGCTGATAGCCCAGGGTTCACTGCTCCATAAACAACTAGATGATGTCTCAGTTCTTCCACAACAACCCCAAAACCATTGCAATGATCTCAGTTATGTTTGAATGTTCATATGGTCATAATAGAGGGGTAATGATAAAATTTCACCGTTCAAACATTGCTCTTTCAGAACGCTCTCTCCTCCACATCATGAGTAGACACGCCCCTTACTGCTGATAGGCTACAAGTTTGTTTTGCTACTCGGCCCAAATCAGTTTTCTAAAGCATTTTTGAAAAATTGCTTACCCCACCTTTAATGGAGCTCTTGGTTGTATTTCTGTCTAGTATTGACCTTATCTTGGACGTTTCTCTTAAAATTTCTTGAAGAAATTAAAATAGACACAAATAAGACCAAATACAAAATAACTTGTAAATAAGGCACAAATTATTGAAATATGTCTTTCTTAAAGGGATAGTTCACCCAAAAATGAAAATTCTGTCATTAATTACTCACCCTCATGTCGTTTCAAACACGTAAGACCTTCGTTCATCTTCGGAACACAAATTAAGATATTTTTGTTGGAATCTGAGAGCTGTCTGACCCTGCATAGACAGCAATACAACTGAAATGTGTGACACAGCTGACACAGAACAGCATACGCTGTTTACATCCAGCGGATACTCTCCAAAATGGCACCAGGGTGACGCGGAGGAGATGAATTGTTTAATAAAGTCTTTTTTTTTTTTTCTTTTGCGCACAAAAAGTATTCTCGTTGCTTCGTAAAATTACAGTTGAACCCCTGATGTCAAATGGATTATTTTACAGATCTCCTTGCTACGTCTCTGGACTTGGGAACATTTCAGTTGTATTGCTGTCTATGCAGGGTCAGACAGCTCTCAGATACCATCAAAAATATCTTAATTTGTGTTCCGAAGATGAACGAAGGTCTTATGGGTTTAAAACATGAGGCTGAGTAATTAATGACAGAATTTTCATTTTTGGTTGAACTAACCCTTTAATACTTCAAAATTTCACATTGCCATTTCTTTGTAATTGTGAAATTTACTAGCAGTTTCTATAGCTTTTTTTTTTTTAAGTGTAGTTGATGTACAGTAAAGAGTTATATAATAAAAGTGAATCAGTTTTGATTGCAGATTTGAGTTTCAGAAGGTATCTCAACTTGCAAGATTCCTAGGGCTTTTTCCTCAGTCTCAATTTGCTTCGATAGAAATATCTCATTTGGTTTTTTTCCTATGGGTTTGTATTGTGAGCTCAGTGTAAGATCTGTTCTGAAATTCCAGATAAGACGTGTGAAACTACAAAGGTCCTTTTCTCAGTAAGAAAGAAAATTTGAGAAGCAGGAGGCTTCCGTATTTGTTCTTTATTTAGTGTTATTGCTGCTTTTGAGAAACACTTGAGATATTACTGAGATTTATGCTCTTGTCTTCTCATGGCTGTGTTTCAGGTACAGGCCAGCAGCTGCCAGCTTGGCGGGAGGAGCATTTCCTGGCCTGAATGCGAACCGACTGCAGCTGGAGCATGTCCACTGCAGGCTTGACTGCCCAGGAGATCCGTTTACCCGTGCAAAGCCTATTCCTGCGGGACAGCCATTGGCATAGCATGGCCGGAGCTAAGCCCTCTTGGAAATACCATGATCTACACAAGTGAGTGCAACACTAAAAGCACAAGTGTGTTTTTCTCGTGTTGAACATGGATTAGTTTTACAAGTCCCTGGACATGCTCTGCATGACTGAGCAGAAAACCAGGAAATGGTCTGTGATGTTAACATGGTTCATATGATGTTAATGAACCTCGGATTTTGTCTGATTAGCTTTCCTGTTCTTAATCTACAGATTATACTTCACCATTGATTCTTCTATGGATTATAACATTCAGTCCCAGCAACAGGTGCTGCCATCATTCTCAGGAGCGGAAAGTAAGTAGCATTACAACATAAATTTCATCATTAGGAAAAGTTCACTCAAATTTACTCACCCTCATTTAATTCCAAACTTGTATGGTGTGATTTAAAGCATCTTACTTTACATTTAGTCACAATTCAGAGTGGCCATGGACAAAAGTACCAAACAGCAACAAAAAAACCCTTTAAAAATAGGCTTTACAACATGCACTATTTTTTATTTAGCGGATGGGAAGGTTTTCAAATACACATTAAATTTCAGTCTGTTTCTCACATAAAGTTGTTGTATGTCTTCAGAATGCTAATTTAGGGAAATATAGTATATGTGATACTTTTATATTGCATTTTTTTCTCCTTTTTAGAGACTGAAAGAAGTGGTCATTATGAACAGTCTGTTTATGGAAAGAACTGCAGAATTATCTGCAAAAATAGCATATGGGTTTGCAATGACTTGAATGAGTAAATAATGGTGTTTAACAGTTCCTTAAACTCATGTACTAAATACTAGAGAAAGATAAGAAAACAATGTTGTCATTGGATGAATCAAAGTTGTAATAATGCATTGACGTGTATGTGGCTCAAACAGTAGAACATGGTGGGTTCGATTTCTAGGGAATGCACAAACTAATAAAATCTGATGCTTTGGATAAAAGCGTCTGCCAAATGTAATGTAAATAGTGTTTAATACTGTTGGAGAAAGTCATAAGCTTAAAGGTGAAGTGCAATTTCTGTTCCACTTGCAGCGACCTCATTTACATAGATGGTAATCAGGTTTTTAGGTTTCATAATTTGTATAAAATAACTATTTATTAATTTAGATCTTAAAAACTGCTAAATACTCATTCTCTTCTACCTTCCTGTTCAAACAGAACAGCGGACTCATCTTCAGTCACCAAACAGCCCAGGAGGCCAGCCCTTGCCCCCAAAAAAGCCCAGACCTTCCCAACTCACCTTGCACACGGACCCTTTCACGTCCAGCTCTGCTGAAGACGACCAAGTGGTTCCCTGCTTTCAACGTCTAACGGTATCTGACCGCATCAGTCCTCCCCAGACGCCCAGCCGAGTCACCAAACCCCTTCCCCCAATTCCCGGTTCAGCAGAGCTTTCCCTGGATCAGGCTATAGACAGTGAGGTAGAGTTCTTTAATGGAGATGACAATTGCTGCCTAGTTTCCGAATCTTGCTCAAAACACTCTTCTTTCCGCTATGGAATGCCCAGTCGAAGGAGTTTCAGGGGCTGTGGACAGATTAACTACGCATACTTTGAAGGTCCAACATCCCTGCAGAAGCCGCAGACGCAGCCGCAAAAGCCGAGGCAGGAGCGGGAAACCCAGCAGAGGGAACAGGAGCTCCGCGACTACCACCACCACCAACAGCAGCAGCAACAGCAGCAGCAAAACTGTCTCCGACAACAGGAACGTACACAAAGGAAGCTGCGGCGTTCCCATTCTGGCCCTGCTGGCTGCTTCAACAAACCCACCTCCTTCCGGCTGTCCAGTCATCACCGAAACATGCAAGGCCTGGTTAAACCGGAAGTTCCTCCCAGAGTTCCTATTCCCCCACGACCAATCAAGACTGGAGACTACCGCCGCTGGTCAGCCGAAGTCTCATCGGGAGCCAACAGCGATGACGACCGACCTCCGAAAGTACCTCCTAGAGAACCTTTATCCGGCGGTAGTTCCCGCACCCCGAGCCCAAAGAGCCTTCCTGTGTACCTCAATGGGATCATGCCCCCAACGCAGAGCTTTGCCCCGGACCCTAAATATGTCAGTCGTGGCCTGCAACGACAGAATAGTGAAGGTTCCCCGTGCATTCTGCCCGTCATGGAGAACGGCAGGAAAGCAAGCACCACGCACTACTTCCTTTTGCCGCAACGTCCGTCGTACCTGGACAAACATGAGAAGTATTTAACGGACAGCACAGCGAGTCGAGGCACGGATGCCTCGGATTTGAGTTCGGACTGGGACTGTCAAAGCAAAAGGAAAACGACGCACACAATAGACTTGGTATGAAAAAACCGGGGCATGTTCGACCCCCGAGACTTTTTTCGCTGCTTTGTCGCAGCTTTGCTCTAGCGCTCCGAGCGAGTTACGTATGAATTGCAGTTACTGGGATCTCTCTTCTTTTGGAAACAGTTCTAACAGTTCTCTTAGAGTGAGCTCGGAAACTATTTTTATGTTTTTTTTTTTATTTCATTGCTATGTGAAATGTAAGTGTTGAAATGATGGTGCAGTTTTTTGGTATTAGCTGGTCTGGTACCTCCATACTTCAGTGTTGTAAATTTTCGTAGTCTCATTATATATATATATATATATATATATATATATATACACATATATATATATGTGTGTGTGTATATATATAAAAATATATATAAAGCAAAGTGCACTGAGAAAACAGTATGTTGTGATGTGTAAAAGTATTTAACATCGTCCTCTTACCCAAACTGAATAGTTTTTAGTCTATTGTATCCTGTAAAGTAATAAAAATAAATACTTATTTATGAATCAAGTTTGTATTTTTCTGATATTCTGTTGCATTTCATTCTCTGAAGTATGTCGTATCTCTGAGAAACGCAGAGATCTAGCTGTTTTGCCTGTTTTATCACATCCACGCCCCTGTGCTCTGCCTCATTACTATTGTCCTGGCTCCAGACAGGAGGAAGGTGAACTGTACTTTTGCACTTAAAAAACGATCTTAGATCAGTTCTGTGGTTGCCTTTATGCAGATGATGGGTTGGTTTGAAGGGATGCGTGTCTCGGAGCGGTTTTACAGCACACCATTCTAGCAAACCTGGGAATTACTCGCATAGACTTGTCGCAGCTTTGCTCTAGCGCTCCGAGCGAGTTACGTATGAATTGCAGTTACTGGGATCTCTCTTCTTTTGGAAACAGTTCTAACAGTTCTCTTAGAGTGAGCTCGGAAACTATTTTTATGTTTTTTTTTTTATTTCATTGCTATGTGAAATGTAAGTGTTGAAATGATGGTGCAGTTTTTTGGTATTAGCTGGTCTGGTACCTCCATACTTCAGTGTTGTAAATTTTCGTAGTCTCATTTTATATCGCATTGAAGATTATTTTTATGTCTCGGAACATGTGGTTGAGCATGTTCGTCTGATCATAGGGACATAGGGTCAGTAAATGCTTCTTTACGTTTGTGTCATCTACTATATATGAAGTATAAATTCGGCCCGACTTTTTCGCGGCCGGCATTTTAAGTGAAGGGTATTCCATCTTATTGCATTGCATACTGCATGCAAGCACGCAATCTGACACATGCACACTATTTTGCTGTTCCTCTGTTGGACTATTGCTCTCAGCTTTTGTCAGGACACTCTTTTGTGTGCTTTTGTTCATGTGGCCTGTCTGTACAATTTCTAGTCTTGATTGTGTGTTACATAGGAACAGGCTAAGTATTGCTTTTCTGTTCTAAGTTGTGTGTGTGTGTGTGAGTGATTCGAGAGCTGAATGTGTTACATTTGCCCAGTTTTGGCACTGCTTTTAAGCTTTCATAAGCTGCTTAAAACGGCAGCTGAAATGTTGCCCTCTGAATGAACGGAGTATTTCCGATCCCTGGCTTCTCGCAGAGGTGTAGTGTGTTCTTTTGTTGCACAAAAAGCAATACTTATAAAACCTGTGAATGAGTTTCTCTCCTCTTTTAAAGTGCTGTCTCCACGTGAAGCTGTGAGCCATTGTCTGTGATAGGTTTTTCTCAAGTACTACCTCCCATTATAGTTCTGCTTCTTCTTAAATACTCAACTATGGATTACAAAGACTCAACAAATACAATTTCTTTGACATACACAGGTCCGTACGAGGAAGCGGTTGCCCCTGATCTATATTTCTTTGTTTTGCCCATTCGAAACAGTCAGTCATTAACACTTCCTCAATGAAAACGCATCTTCGACCGATTTTTAAGAGCTACGTGGAGTTAAAGTCCATGTGTGCTGCATTTGGCTGAGCTCACACATACTGATCTTCCTGTTACTGTATGTGCATTCCTGTTAGACGTGATTACAGTGGGTGTGGGCACCAGAGACTTTGGCTGCTGGCAGCTGGTGAATGAGATGTTTTATTATTCTATACTGTTTCCAGAACCATCGTGATAAATGTAGCAAGTGCCATGCAATTTAAAAAGGGGGAAAGTAAGACTATAAAAACATGCTGTTTGGAAGCTCTAAGGTCAAGTACAGCTTTCCACCTCACAAGATTTTGAACTCATTTGATGCCATGGTTTTTACCCTTTATTTGACCAGTTTGTGTATTTACAGGGCACCATCTAGCAAACCTGAGAATTACTCACATAGACCGGTATTTTCTGCCTTGCTGATCGGGGAAAATGCTGTTTCTCTGGTCTATTTTTATTTATTTTTTTTTTGCGTAAAAGCCTTGGATGAAATGATAAGCAGCCGAAAGGAGTGAACATACAGTTCCCTGTATGTCCCAAACCATACAATTTAATATACTAAATAACTTTTAAAAACTAAAATTAACCATAACTATGACCACCTAGAATGTCACATAGTCTGGTATTGCTTTAGCTTCTGGCTTTTTGAAATTGAAATTTTAATTACTTCTGAATTGTACTTTTTCATGTCAATGTGATGAACCTGTAAACTTTTCTACTCGACAAATTTGGCTCAGATTACAGGAAATGAAGTCATCCTGTTCACCTTCAGTTGCATTTACTATGTTTCTGTTTCATTTTTATATTAGTTATTATTTTGTATTAGTTTTTTTTATCTTAATATATAGCTCTATTTCATTTTTACTTTTACTAAATTTTGATACTTTAGTAATTTTAATAAACTTGTTTCAGTTGTTTTAAGCAGTGTATCTGGACATAGTGTCAAGAGATGCTATCCAAGCTTTTGAAAATTATATATTCAACTAATATCGAATTGAAAATCATTTCTTTTTATAACTTTATCTGTTGATATTTGTTGAACATGTCCTAAAAATAATAGTAATGACACAGAAAATCATTTAAAAGATATTCCAAGTTGATTCACCTCACCTGTGAAATGGAAATGACTCTGCAAACCAGTAATTCAACTCTTTAAAAAAAAAAGATAAACTTCCTGATTAATCACAACCTGATCGAAAGCAGACAATAGGGAGGATCTATGGCTGAACCACATACATTAATGTCCAAAAAAAGCAAACAGCTAGTTTAGATGGCCCTGGCTTAGATCTATCATCTGTCAACCCAACGAAAACATTCACTTACTCACACACAAACATACATAGCTACTTGGCTAAATGAGGACATACTTCTATTGTTTTATATAAAGCTAATTATGATTACTACAGACTAACCCAAACCCACACACTATACTGCCCCTCAAATTTTTCCCCCCTTTCTTTTTATTCTTTGCCATATTTATAGCATTTTAACACTGGAAAAACAAAATCTGAAAGAGTAAGCTTATGATTGATTTGGGTAATTATCACACACAAAAAAATGTTAGGTTTAAATTTATTGCAAGGATGATTAACTTCCTAGTCAGTGCTGAGAAAAATGGTCCGATGTTAGTCGATTTATTTTTAATTTTTGCATACTCAGAAAATTATGCACGATGATTAGAATATTATTTTATATGTCCAGAGCAGACAGGCATCTTCTGCGATTATACAGGTGTGGCATATTTGCATACAGCTTCAATTTAATGACAAATAAATAAACTAGGGAGTTATCATAACAAACTATGTTTATTTAGACAATTTAGTGAGGTTTATGAGAACAGATTAATCAGTCTGTGCAATGCAGTTTGTCAGCGCTAAAAATACTTTATACTTTTTTGCATTATGAAAGTGGTCAGGCAGTACCTTTACAAAGTGCTTAAATGTGGTATAGTATTAGATATATGTTTCTTATTTTGAAATCCAACTAAGACTAAAGAGTTTGAGATGGACCAACCTGCTATTTACAAGAAAAAGACACCTTAGATGATGTGAAGCATCAGCCAAACAGAGGAAGACAGCATGGCGTATAATTAAGTCTGTAGTGCCTCCCAGTGACCTTATACCGACATTGCATTTTTTTTATTTTTTTTTATTCGATGAACATGGTGTTGTTGTGTAGCGGCTGTAGCCAATAACTTGTAATGCACATATGCTTTATTTAAAAAAAATAAAAAAAAACCTTTGGAAACATAGGCTACTGTATATTCAGCACAGTTGTTTTCACTATAAATATGAATTTACAAAAATATATTAAATGTGCTTTCAGTGTAAACAAGCAATACCCTGCTATGATAACAAAACCCATAGATAATATACAGTGTCAACAAAAACAAACATTAAAAACATCAACATAACTGACTGCACTAGTTGGTTAATGTGGTAGCATTGTAAATAGATAGGAAATTATAATTAAAAATGTAATGATTAATAAAGATGATTATTATTATTAATAATTGTAATTTACCCTCTCATACCAAGAAAACAAATCTCTTTGCATTTCTCCTCTTCTTTCTTATTTCCCAATAGTGTTGCTTATATTGTTCCTATATTGTAAGTCGTTTGTATAAAAGCGTTTGCTAAATGTCTAAATGTAATATAAATATCAGATTTTGCATTTATGTGGCGTCGAGCAGGAAGCCCCGCCCACACCACAACTATTGGATCGAAGTACAGCTTCTAATGTTTATTAATTGTCAAACATGGACGTAGAGAGAGTGAAGGTTTTACATTTTAAAAGAGAATTTTACATGACAAACCATAAACCACAAACCATAAAAAGCATGCCCTCTAGTGAAGCATCACAGAAATCATAAAAATGCAAGGTATGTGTGCAACAGGGTGAGCAAACAGTGTTTTGTGTTGGTGGCAGCACTCCTGAGCGCTTGTGTAATGCAGTGGACCATATTTTAACTACCCCCACATATTAATTTACAAATGTGTTAATTATTGATTTATGCATGTGCTGGAGTGGTTTCGTAGATGAGTGCTTTTGAGTTCTAAGTGACTTAGTTTTACAGAGGTGCTTTATACATTGTTCTTTGTGCTATGTAAATATTATTATGAGATACTTGACAATAATTTTACTTGAAATACTCCAAATAATCGTCACTGTCATTTCTGTTTATCAGACATCCATCACGTTACTTCAGTTGCTCCTTTATCAGTAGCAATAAATAATATTATTTTATATGTCAAATAATGTGACATTATTTTTCACATATTTTACATTATTACAACCAGTGTTGGGCAAGTTTCTCTTAAAAGGAGTAATCAGTAATAAGTAATTTGATTAAATTTTCAAAGTAATCACGTTACTGTTCTGATTA